TGTTTGAAAAAAAGAAAGCAAGACCAGCAGTAAACGGCAAAGGGACCACTGGGGAAGGCTGGCAGGGGCAGGCTGCCCGACCACACTGGTCCAGACGCCTTGGCTCCTCTCAGATTCAACCCTGTTGTGAGGTCCCACAAGAAAAACTTTAAGAATTTTTCCATCAATTAACGCTTTTGGTGCAAACCAGGCAGCAAGCTGGCTCGTCCCTTTTATTTGTTAACTGCAAATTAATTGTCCAAAGTGAATAGTTTCATTAAGGTTGCATTTACTCCCTCTAACACTTTCCGATCCCCCTCCTGTTCCACACCCCCCAGGAGCTCCCTTCTATTTCCACACCTGTTCTAGGCTTCCGCCTATGGGAGAAAGCATGTGGCATTTGCCTTTATGGACCTGGCTTATTTTTTGCTTCCCATGGTGATCCGCATTTCTGTCCATTCCCTTGCATTACATCTACATTCTACATTACATCCAGCATCTATTATAAGTGACCCAGAAGTGACTTAAAGTACCCAGAAGGACAATGTAGGCTATGCAAAAATCATATGACATTTTATATATGGGACTTGAGTACTCACAGATTTGGGAATCCACAGATGGTGGGGGCACCCCTGTGTGGGTACTGAGGGGCAGCTGTATGGGGTGTCCAGTGCCAACTCTTCTCTGCTGGTGAACTATTTTTACTACTTTACAGATTTTTCAGAACACATGACAACAAGCATCATGCGTACATGCTTTTGGAAAGTATGAAAATACTGTAGCTGATTTTTACAAATTACACATCATGTAATCTACAGAGACAAACAAACAGTCACAGTTACTCTTACTAGGCCTTAATAGATGATCAGTAAGAACAGGGGCTGCAGAGCTGGCTCAGTGGTCAAGAGCACTGACTGCTCTTCCGGAGGACCTGAGTGCAGTTCCCAGCACCCACAACTACATGTATCTCCAGCTCCAGGAGGTCTGATGCTCTCTTCAGGTCTCTGTGGGTAGCTGCCCACCCATG